ATGGTAAGGGAGGAGAGAAAAATCTAGACATTAGTATGATTTGAAGGAAAGCATCTTTTCCACAAATTATGCTATTAATTCGCAGATAGCATGATTGTTTTTAAATAAGAAAATAAATTTAAAATTAAATTTAATCAAAACATTACATTCAAAGATAATATCACACAATCACTTTGGTATTATAATCTAAAAATAAATCCCATTATATTAATTTATTTGAAAGGTAAAGCAGTTTTAAAATTAATTACAAAAAAAAAAATAAAAAAATTTTAGGTTGACTTCCTAAAATTATTTTGCGTATAAAAGAATAGCGTTAATTATTATTGCCATTCATTTATTGTTATTTAAGACTGAACCAGAAGACACTGCAGCAATGGCCATTTGCATATAATTGTATTCCCCTCATGTAAGTTAATCTGAATGTTTGGTTCCTCACCTATAGAAAATACTTATTTTCCTGGATTCTATCCAAAAAAAGCAGCTGAAATGGTTCTATTAACATATATAAAAGTTTAAAAATAGTCCATGAAACAGCATATCCGCTGAAAAAAAACGAACACCCTGTATCACAAAGCACAGCCATCCTCTTCCAAGAATAATAATAATGATTAGCTAAGAATGAGTTTGGGCTTATGAAGGAAATTTAAGTGCACCAGACACCAGACTTCAAAAACATTACCATTGTAAATTATACATGGCTTATGCATATTTGAGTATAACAGACTTGCTTACATCAGCCCATGATTGATCAAACCTATGCCCCTAATGCTGCTAGAAGTCTTTCTTCAAAAAAATCGGTAAAAGAAGGGATTTCACATTTTCATTTGGAAGGAAGGAAAGTGGTTAAAAAAAAAATTGAGTTTAACTGGATAACACAGCCATATTTACATAATGGGAAACAATTAATACTGATACCTATGGATTATGATTATAAAATTAGATATGGATGAGTGTGTACCTGCTACGTGAGGCAAGAAATTGAAGGTTAGATATTACAGCATGCACACATAGGCACTGGGAGGTATATTAAACCACAAGGACAATAAGACATTCAATTTTTGGGGACTTTCCCTTTCAATCTCCTACAATGAACTCATTTTAGAGTGGACAGTTTGAAATGCACGTATTATTTAATAAGGAAGTTAAGTATCCATATAAGGCTGAGACTTGAGCTTTTTAAGGATATTCATAAGTCTCAAAGGATGCACATTTTGCAGAATGCTTCCAAGAGCTATCTAATTTGCATAATCTAGTTGGGACCACTTCATCTGCTCCTATCCCTCCCAAGGGATTTTATCCCTCCCCAGACATATCCTCCCTCACATAAGCACTTACTATTCCCAATGAGCTTTGTATTCCTTCCAAAAGCTACTATCCCTCCCAGGAGGTCTGACCACTTTCTGGAGTTCTTCCCTTGCATTCCATTGCTTGTGTAAAAAATAGCAGTTCTTGCAAGGAGCTGGCATTATTCAGCTTTGTGGGATGGTAGGAATGTGAGAAAGAATGGGCTTCAACAACTTGAAAGACCACCAATGGATGGAGAAAGAGGAGTAGGCAGGCCAGGAGACTCTTCTTAGCCCTGAGGCATCAGAGAATGGTTTGGTATGGCTTTGAGAGATAAGTGGAAATCCATGTCAGCCAAGCTTTCTTCCAGAGCATTTGTAGCCCTCACGTTTTCCTAAGGCACTCTATATAATGTGCGCACACCTACAATCTTATTAAGAATAGTAAAACTCTGCATACTATAGGAAAATTATTATACGAAGGTTAGATTTAATTAGATTTAATGCTTGAAAAAATTTATGAATGTATTAAATCTAACCTAAGTATAATAATTTTCCGTTAGTGTACGATGCATGCTTTACTAATTGGTCAATCGCCGTCTTTTTTTAAATTTTAGTTTTTGATAACCAACTGTAGTAGCAGTCATCGGTGGCTATAATGATATGATCAGTATATTCTGTGCGTATTTACATTTAGCTGTGCGTATGCTAATTTGTGCTTCTGCAGTACACGTCAACTACACATCAGCAGTACAGTATGGAAACTATGAATAACTCTTGTAATTTGTATTGTGTTAGAAAGAACTTGTTTGTAATTCTATTTTGATAGACATTCGTCAAAGAAATAAACATTTCAGCATTCGACAGAGAATACAGTTACTGACGTTTTTTGATCGGTGCATACAGGTAAAAATCGTGCGACAACTAGATAGGCTACGGCCTAGTAGGAGGAGGCCTCGGCAGCCTTCACGTCTGGCCATAGGCCTGTACATCTAAATTTGTTCCTTGAGTCTTTAAAATAGGTCTAGACTATTCCTATTAAACATTCAGCTTGTTTTGTTTATGAAGGTCCATTGATTCAATGAATTCCTTAATTGTTCATACTAAATACTGAATTTGAAGTAACTTTCTTCGGGTCCTAATTAAGCTTGTTTACGAAAGAAATTTTCAATTACAATCCAATTTTCATTGCAGTGTCTTCATGATGACGAAAAAATGAGAATTTTTTTTTTTTTGCACGCAAACCTGAAAAAAATCAAGCCAGGCGTCCACTATTAACAAATTAGTGGACTGTGAGGGATAGGTAAATAACATTGGGAGTGGCAGTGATGACGTCATGATTGACTTATAATGCATGTTAGTAGAGGAAATACGAGGATCATAATAACTTGTCAACAGTGCTAATGCCTTAGCATGTTGCAAACCACTTTCATAACATAAGAGCTCTAATAAAAATATTGACAGACACACTAACAAGAAATAGCCATTGATACATGCTTAATCCTTCATCATTATACAAATGCTTTGATGGCATTCATGCATACCTAGAATAGGGCGTTGAGACTTCGACATGATAATGGTGTGCAATTCATGTGTAAAAATTCTTGCACCTAAAAATAACACCAAATCTAAGTAGCTTAAATTGCTATGGTTCAAGGTGAGAGGACAATCAGAGAAATTTGTAAAAAGGTTTCATAAGCTTATCAAAATTACAGACATTGATTCACAATCCATTAATCTGCCATGTGATTTTATTCTGGTAGAATGTGCCAGGTTATTTTTTTCTTTTGTATAGAATCATTACTTCACTGTAAACGCACTATACTGTACAAGAAAGGAAAAAAAAAAATAAAATAAAATAAAATAAAACATAAAAATATAAACACTGCGAGGAAGTAGAGATGGTATGGGTAATGAGAAGGAAATGGAACATAAATAAAAAATAATAGAATGACAGACAGTTGGTTATCATTCAATCATTATTGTTAACTACATTCACAACTCTACCTTTGAACCTATTTCAAAGTACAATCCAAATGCAATTTCTCTTTCATAGAATTATTCAGGGTTTACACTTGTTGCCAAAAACAATATCTAGCAATTTGGATAATTCGGTATGAAAGTAATTAACCAAATAGAAATTCAGGTTTCATTAGGATTTGTCTATTTGGCTAACGACAGCTTAACAAGTTGGCTGCCAGCGACGAGTACACTCACCCACAGGGTGTTGCTGAGGGTGCCAGGGACTAGTATACTCATCCCTGTACACTCGAGCGGCACAAGTGGGGGCGCCCTTTGAACATATACCAACCCATGCAAAAAGTGGACGAGATAACTCGCACTTGGTATAATCAATAAAACGTTCTATCACAGTGCCGTCGACGAGTATACTTGCCCCCCTAATATTTTCCCGTCAATTTATTAGACATTATTTTGATGATATATGACTAGATAAAATTTCATAAAAAAATATATTTGTACATGTAAACTTGTTTTGGCACAGGGGAAGGAACCTTAAAAAAAGGTCTGGCAGTCAACGTGTTAAACACTGAATGTATTTATCACATGATAGTAACATTGGTATGGAGACATACCTCCACTAGTGATAATATATTTATCAATCTTAGTTATACAGGTCAGTCTCAGGTTAATATTATATAATACTATATACATATTCAGTATATTCTTTGTGTATCGTGTTGTGCAAATGTTGTGTAATATTTTAAACTTGTGAAAGCATACAATCTGATATTCTTTTTAACAATAAATGTAATCAGTCTCTCAATCTGACCTTGGATACTGTAACCCAGCAACTTAAATGCATTACTGTACACAAGTAGATATCATCCCCCAGAATGATAGCAGTGTGTCGTGACGGCTTATACAAGCACTTATTTCCAAGAAATTGCTTTCTATTTCCATGCGAAAGGTAAACACATGAAAAGGTTACCAGCCTTGAGTTGTTTAGTTTAGATATAAAAGCAAACATGATTTACACTGCAACTGACGATAAAAGTCTGTGATAAAAATTGTTATACTAAAAACAAAAAAACAAATGGTTTACTACCCACTCCCCTGTTTCTATTTTGGGCTGACACCTGATTTAAAAAACAGTTTTACTTCCAGAAATAAGAACAAGGAAGAAAATCCTGCAGGGTCATTATACAGGCTTGCTTTGAGCTCATTGAATAAATTTAAATAATCGATATAGAAAATATTGTCACATCAGACTTGATAGTATGGGCAGACATTAATGAAGATGATGATGAATTTTTATTATTAACAAATAATAAACAGCATTCAATAACCACTTTATTTGAACATAGGTCAATACTCAATCAATCAGTTAATTAATCTACCAATTAATCAAGCACCCAATCACCCAATTAATCAACCAATCAATTTAATCAATCAATCAATTTTTCCAATGGAGCAAAATAAAAATACTCAATATACTAGTCATCTTTATCGAAATCAATAACTACCGTATAAACAAAATTTGCTACATATTTTAAAGGCCAAAAAAATTAACATCACATTTAAAAAAAGTCTGTGTGGCTATGCTTACACCGATGTGATTGAAATAATAATGCGCTGATTGGTTGACTTGGCTTTACCGGAACCTTAAAAATAATTCTCACTATCTTCATGCACTACATATTGTTTAAAAAAAAATGTTTCAATCATACATGAGATGTTTTCCTGAACAAAACTTACCTTTAAGCTGCAGAAGTTTTTGAAGATGCTCATACAAAACATCGCCAGCATAAGGTGCGCGGTCATTGAATCCTTCTTTGCGTAGGAGACACAGTGCTTTTCCGTTCATTGCGAAACGATCAAGTTCTATTTCATTTAGGGAGAACTCCTCAACAGACCACTTCAGCCACGTCTTCACATCTTCTTTCGTCCATAAAATTGGGTATTTAGCTGTGAAGATATCATAAAAATGAGTAAAATTGATTACTTAGTTGTAAAAAATATAATAAAAAACGAGTCCATAAAATTGGGGAAGTTCATTCATTCATTTTTCATTCATTATTTTTATTTCAAAACACAACAGCAAGGTAAAAATACAATCAAAACAATCGAGAAATATAAAAATATACAATTCATGATAAGGTAAAAGACATTTAAAAAGGAATGCATACACAGTAGACCTAAATATTGCTTTGAGATTATATTATATTGTTGTTATTACTACCACAGCCATTATTATTATTATCATTATCATTATGATTACCATTATTATTAGCATTATTATCATTATTGCCATCATCATTTATACTACATTGCAATTATCATTCCTTACAAGATTACTAAAATAAGTTGTAAAAGCCATCATGTACTTTGTAGCAAAGCTAAATTGTAGTAGCTGTGACAGTAAAGATACCATATCTTATTTTAAAATAATGACGTTGCTATATTTGTTATATTCTGGTTCAAATATTTCACAGGTATATCTTGTCTATGTCTTCTTGAAAATGAAATCAGAAATTAAATTAATCTACTGGATTGTGAAAGGCAAACTGTTATCAATGTTATCATCTACTCTACGACAGCGTAAATTTCATAGAATTTTGGCGTTGCTATTACTATGATAGAATACAGTAATATATTATTTATTGTTCGGCCAAAACACCTTTTTGAGCAAACCACATTGACAAACTTAATAATCCCCCCACCCAACATTACAATCGAAATGACAATGGAACTCCTAAAAGCAATTCAAGATTGTTAGCTTTCACTTACATATCGGACACTGAGAGTAGGGCGACGCTGATGGCATGGCAATGGGCTTGGCTACTGCAGATCCATACTCCGTCTGATGGTTGGTGGCTGAGTTGTTATGGCTAGTAGCAGTACTGCACAGGGGCAGATAGTCAAAAGTGTGGTAGGGCTGTACCATCATGGTCTGGCTCAGTGGATGTAAAGATGACGGCGATGTAGGACCTGAATTCATGCTATCAGGAAATACTAAGTATAAAAAAAAGGTATCATGAAGACTGAGCGCAGTGACTATAGGGTGGTTATAAGCATCAATAGTATGACTTGCAAAGATATTTTTATCCTGGGAAAAATGTCAAAACTGTTAGATGATTAATAACATAACAAATTAATGATATAATAATGTATTGTAACTAGGCTAGAAGAGATGAATTATACATTTCTTTAATGATGTATAAATATAAATTATAAAAAAATAGCAATGGAATTGCAACAAAAAGATCATATTCTACTCTTTCCAACAGTGCAAGGAATTCTTACCAGTCAGTGGAAAAATGAGTATATTTTGAATTTTTAGTTTAGTTTTAACTTTGGAAGGTATGAATTGGTTAAATTTCCTAAAATTATTATTATTATTAATTGTAGATTGGAGATAATATTTTTGTGGAAGTTATAATATTAAAGTTCCTGCAATAATAATAATTATTAATTCAAATTCAAAACTGTCAATTTTATTTTTATACTATTATTTTTTTTCTACTAAATGTTCTTAATTCAAATTGTTTCCCATATTGTATAAAACTTTCTCAATGTTTTGTATCTCGTTAATTGTAGTTTTTATTTTAATTAATTTTTCAGTACTGTACACATGTATCATCCAATAATTTATGCTAATTTTTATATTGTACTATGTTGATATAATCAATTGAATTGGAATATTCCTTTTATAGTCAAGTTTGGCACTTGGACAAAATTGGAATATAACAATGAATAAACTATCTCTGATACCTTGACTAAAGCCGCAATCGCACTGGATTTAAAATAGGGAAATTTTTACCGAGACTGTGGGTAACATTCCAATGGGTAAACTTCCTGTCGTTCGCACTGGGATTTATCGACGTGGTTAGTTTTACCACAGGCCATGGTGAAACTAACCATTCGTACAGATTCAACTAT